GCCCAAAAAAAAAAAAAAAAAAAAAACAAAGGACAATCTGTAATTATAGAAACTTAAGAGAACAAACGGCAATTCAAATTACAAGACCGTTAATCGTGTACAATATATTAATGAAACAGAGATTATAATAAAATAGTTAAGCAAAATATACGCCGGTAAAAAGGGTATTTTAGTCTTTTCAGAAATACAAAAATTAAAACTCAAGAAAGAAACATCGTTCATGACCCACCACCACAAACTCCATCACCCGACCCCCACCCCCTCACACACACACACTCCCCATGACTCCCACGACCTTTTGAACCTCCTCCATTTTCAACACACTTGAAACCAAAGCTCAATTTCATCAACATTAAAGAAGAACAAGTAGAAGAAGAAGAAAGAGAAGGTGAATTCTGGAAGTTTCTGGAAAGGTAATGCGAGAATGGCTACGGTTTACAGAAACGGCACAGTTCCTAAAGGAGCTTTAAAGGTAGATAGGCCTCTTTCGATGAATTCAACTTCCAAATCTTCTTCTTTCAAATCCAAAAACTCCGGTCCTGCTCCGGCATCCGGTATCCGCCGTAAAAGCACTGGCTCCGTTGCTAACTCTGCTGCTTCCACTAAGGATGCTACCTCCGGTGAGTCAACTCCAAATTCGTCCTCATTTCCATTATAACTTCACTTAATTTCGTACAACGGTATAATTGTGATCTATTTTTTAAATGTTTGCGGATAATGTAAGAAAACTAAGCGCTTGATTTAATGAGCTCTCATTTCTTAAGGAATTTACCTAATTCTCGAGAAAATTGCTCCAAATGCGTCCTTATTTCCTTAATAACTTTACTTAATTTCGTAAATTTATTTTTATTTTTAAATTTAATGTAAGAGAACTAAGCGGTTGATTTGCTAGTTGTAGTAGTTGAAAGAGCTCTCATTTTCTCAAGGAATTTAATTAATTTCCGAAAAAGTTGATCTCTTTAATTTTTTTTGGCGGATAATGCGAGAAAAATGATCGTGTGATTGTGTTGTGATGGTTTTGATTTAAGTTAATTAGACACAGCTTTTTGATTAGTCAGCCTTTGTGATGAGTTTATGCAATGGAAACATTTAGTCTTTGAGGAATTAAACTAATCTGGAAAACTAAGTGCTTGATTTGTTAGGTGTGGTAGTTATTTAGTTAGGTAGACGAAGCTGTTATATTTATGATGAGTCTAAGCTATGGAAACATGTGAATGCAAAGGTAAAGTAGTACATTAATTTCCTTCAGGGTTTTAGTTAATTTTGAAAAGAAAAAATGCTCTTGTGCCATTGTTCTTTTGTTGTTGTAATAGCAATGAATTTTTTCTTCACATAGTAGTTATGATATAAGTTACTTACAATAAGCAGTCTGATTTAATTCTAGCATTTATGATGAGGTCTAAGCAATTGCAACATGTGATCCCAAAGCTAAAGTAGGTTTAATAGAGTTGGTAACTGGACTAGTTGTTGGAATACTGATTTTTTTGTTTGAAGAACTTGGAATCTTGGTAATAGATATTGGTTATATTCTGCATTGGCCAATTACCTATCAGGATTGTAATGCATCGAAGGACACCAATAGCGTAGCAAATGAACTAATGAAGTGTTATTGTTAATCTATTAATTTTATGCACTAAAGCTTTTTAAGATTGAGTTTTCTTATAGCATGGAAGTGCCAGTTCTCATTCACACGTGAATCCTACTTTTTGTAAATCAATCAACTACACCTCAATCCCAAATTAATTAGGGTATGAATCTTCCATATCCCAATTTAATTCAAGTAATATTTAGAGGATGTATCATAGTAAAACTATTTCTTATTCTGCTGGCAACCTAGTGGAACCTTCCTCGTTTATATTACAAAACTCGCCGGGTTTAATAATACTTTTGGAATAATGCGTTCAGATTCTTTTCTTGGGTGCTTCTGTTGAATTGAAGTTGAAGGAAGAAATCTGTATTGCATTATATGTTTCCAAAAGTCCTGTGAATATTTGATTAATCATGGAAGGGCTCATTTTACTGCTTTGTAACAGTTTCAGGACGCGTTAGAGTTGCAGTAAGACTGCGGCCTCGAAATGCAGAGGAGATGGTGGCCGATGCTGATTTTGCTGATTGTGTGGAATTGCAGCCTGAGGTATTCCAAGTACATCTCTACCTTTCTTGTCAAGGCAATATGAATACTGTAGGTTTTAATTCATTTCTTTTGTCGTTTCCAGCTTAAAAGGCTTAAACTTCGAAGGAACAACTGGGATTCAGATACCTATGAATTCGACGAAGTGCTTACGGAATTTTCTTCACAAAAGCGTGTGTATGAAGTAGTGGCCAAGCCTGTCGTTGAGGTCGCCTGCCAAAACCTAGCAATTCTGCTTTTTAATACATGAATTATGAATGAAATGTTCATCTTCTGCACATGCTTTTATCTAACACATTTAAAGAAAGAGGAAATTTACTACTGACTAGGCAGCGTCTGACTAATATACTGGGAAAGTTTACTTCAGAGCCATAAATATAGTTTCACTTCGATGCAGATTACAAGAGTTTCAAATGTTCTTTTTGAATTACCTAAATTAGCAATGAATGGCTTAGGTGCCTGTCCATCCATTACAATAAACTCTTCCAGTTCTCACTCTAATCAATTCGGCACTTTATCTCACATTTCAATTTTCCCAAGTGACTTGCTTAGTGGGCACCATTGCTAAACATTCCTGAAAATACGCCATACATTTAAAATACTTTAGTTCAAAGCACCTATATGCCAAATACGGTAAACAATCTCTCTCTGAGTAGCTTTCTTCTAGAATTATAAGATATTTATCTGGCCAATAACAAAGGCCATCTCAGTACAAATATTTCAATTAATAGCTTCTTTTCTTCTTGAAAAGCAAGCATAAGATCCACAGTAGCGAAACCAGGACTTTTACTAAGGGGATTCAAAATATACAGAAATAAACACATGCAGAAGCCAATAGGATTCAACAGCTCCTATATATACATAAATAATAATTTTGACCTTGTGTATACCGTGTAATTTTTCAGCAAAGGGGATTCGGATGAACTCCCTTCCGCCCTCATAGCTCCATCTCTGAATATCCATAACCACTCTGTAACTTTTAAAGTGTCTATTGGATTCAATAATATTAGTTTTGTAAGTTCTAATTAATTCCTTGCTCCTTAATATTGTAATTTAGATTCAGAAGTATCAAAATGTACATGGTTGAGATTCCTGGCTTGTGATATCTCTTGTTTAAACTTTGCTTTTTTCCCTTGTATTCTCATACTTCTTAAGATGTTTCTACGAACAATAAATAAGTTCCTTAGATTAAAATCCGCTGCCTGCGACCTAGAGTTTAGTTGATTTGCCTTATGCCACTATTGCATGCCTAGACCGGTTAATTTGGTAATTTTACATGGTTATCTAATTGCTTCTGTGTGTGTAATAAGGTGCCAATTTGTCTTACTCTTGTCTAGTTTCGTACGGCTGTATTCTTTCTTTATCTCTTTAAGTGCCTCGAATTTCTCTTTAATTTTTTTCTCCCGGCAGAGTGTTCTGGATGGTTATAATGGAACAGTCATGGCATATGGGCAGACGGGAACAGGAAAAACTTACACTCTTGGACGACTTGGAGAAGAGGACACTGCTGATCGAGGGATAATGGTTCGTGCAATGGAGGATATTCTTGCAGAAATAACCCCAGCAAATGATTCTGTCTCTGTCTCTTATTTTCAGGTTGTTTTGTCCTTCTACAGAAATGAGTTCCTTTAGTTGAGAACTTTTTATTTAGTTTTATTATCATACCTGATAATAGCTGTGTCAAGTTTCATTTGCATCTTTGGTTGTTTCATGCTTGTTTCTGACTTTAAGTTGTATAAGTTTGGTTGGTTACCTGTCAATGCAGCTTTATATGGAGAGTATTCAGGATCTCCTAGACCCAGTGAACGACAACATATCAATTGTTGAAGATCACAAAACTGGAGATGTTTCTGTACCTGGGGCTACTGCGGTGGATATCAGAGATCAGAAGAGTTTCCTTGAACTCCTTCGCCTGGGCGAAGCTCATCGTTTTGCTGCTAACACTAAATTAAACACAGAGTCTTCAAGAAGCCATGCTATACTGATGGTTAGAAGATTCTATCTCTTGTGGGTTATGCAGTTTTTTCTTTTCTTTTTTAGGTTGTGCATAGTGGCTTGACCATTGTTCTTGAGCCTTTTCCCAATATGCCAATGGACAGGGAGACATCAACAAAGTTCAATGTCACAGAAACTTTTGTTTTCTATCACAGGTACATGTTGAAAGGTCTGTCAAGGGAAGAGATTCTGCTATTTCATCTGAAAATGGGAGTACTTCTCACACAGCTAAAGCATTCAAGCCACCTGTTGTGAGGAAAAGTAAGCTAGTTGTTGTGGATCTTGCTGGCTCTGAGCGCATAGACAAATCAGGTGTGCTATCAAAATTTCTGGGCAAATGTATCTTCTGTAACTTTTATTATGTATTCACAACTGGAGCATTTTATTTGTGCTTACAGAAAACTTTGTTTTTGTTCAAGGATTATGATAGTTAATAGTTTTACACAAATATTCATACTCATGTCTGAATGACAGTTAAAACAATTCTGTTACTTGAGGCAACTGATGCTAAGTATTACCTAGGAGGTAAGTGAGTGATTGCTTTGGAGAGACTTCATTATGTGTTTTCCTTCCCAATCCTTTTGCACTCTAGTCACTTAACTTGAATAGGCATATCAGTCTGTTCACCCTTTAACCCTCTTTTGCGGCGTTCGGTGGGTTTCAACTAGGAAGCTTTTCTTTGTTTCTCTAAATAAAAGCCGAATTGATCTTTTGAAATTTATGATGCAAGAATGTGGCTACACTTTGGAACTGATTACTGCAGGCAAAACTGTGACCTATTTTTTGGGTTTGCCAGGCTTGTCGGGGTGGGGTTATCTAAGACACCATGTAGAAGTTCCTAATGTTTCTTTGGAGCAATGAGTTAAGATCTAAAACAGGATAAAGCTAAGAAGCATTGGTTCTTTGTTTTGTTTTGCATTTGACAGGAAGTGAAGCACATACACTGGAGGAAGCTAAGTCCATTAATCTCTCCTTGAGTGCATTGGGAAAATGTATCAATGCGTTGGCAGAGAATAGTGCTCATGTTCCAGTTCGTGACTCAAAGCTCACAAGGTTGCTTCGAGATTCATTTGGAGGTAAGGTACTTAATAAAACGATTTTGAAGCTCATTCAGGAATAGCAAATATAACTTAACATGGTCCAAAATTTTAACCTCTGCGCTTGAAAGCCAGGGAAAACTTATAAGTATATTCAGTTATGAGAGCCATGCACTTCTTTGATTGTAGTTCTTGGAGGCTCAATTCCTGTACCTCAAGGTCTCTAGTGAAATTAAGTTTACAATGATCTAAATCCCAAGTTATACTTGAGCTTATTTTAAGCACTTTTGATACTGATATTCTTGCATTTCATTAAATTATCTTTAGCTGCGTGTAGAATTTTTAGTGTAAATCCACAATACCTTATTTTAACGCAGTAACCAACAACCAAATGCACAAAGAAAGAAACAGAAACAGAGAAATGTAGGGGCTCACGTCTTAGAATGGATTTGGGGGACAAATTCTAAGCTCTCATAACTAGCTGAGTCTAAAAACTGGGACGAAGAATAATTCATGTCCCAGAAGAATAATATATTTTTCCTTAGCTTAACTAAAAGAACCTGTTACAATAGGCAACGGAACTTTCAATGCATTAGTTCTTAAAAGAAAAGAAAAATCCTCACTATTTCAAGTCCAAGCTACATGGCTACATCCTAAAACGCTGAGTCACTAAGATAACATGCATCATTTTTCAGAGGTATAGAAAAACACTTGTATAGTCCTTCAACAAGTTTTAGATTAAATTATTTAAAAGATCTCCTTATCCCAAAATGCTGTCATATATAATATAAAGTCATTCTTTGGTTACAAGAAGGCTCTCAATGTAAACTAAGACATTTGATTAGGGGATGACCACAAATTTAAGACTTAGGCCGAGGATATCGTATTATAAATCTCTAACTGTTCCATATTGCGGACATTATGATTTCTTTTATGACTTGGTTAACTCAATTTAAGTTCATAGTGCAAATAAAGTGAATTAATTACTGAAGGATTTCATATCCTTTAAGACCAGGAGGTTTTATATAGTTTCTGCCAGATACTACAATGTAGTACTGGGTTGGCTTACATTTTGATCCAGTAAATCTTTTTGGGCCAAAAGATTGTTATCCTACATAATTTGCTTTCATTTGGAGCGTAGTTCCTTCTCTGGAGCTAGACTGCTTAACCTTGCACTGTCCGTGAAACTTATGAAAGTAGTTGCTGGGTGATGTCATCTGTTCAGTACTGTTTCACCTTTGATGCATAATCTCATTAGCCTTTCATTTTGTTTTGGTATCCTACTTAATCACTTATTATAAATCATCACCATGAGATGATAATTACTTTAAAAAAAGAACATTGTCATTGGACATTGAGAAAGGGCATCACATTGTTGAATACTCACAGGTACAGCAAGAACTTCATTGGTTATCACGATCGGTCCATCTCCACGGCATCGAGGAGAGACGGCAAGCACCATAATGTTTGGACAGAGGGTAATCCTAACCTCTATTTCTTTTCCCATGGGAATGTTTATCGTATGATATACAATTGTAGTCCTTTGAGATCTTTCCAGCAGTGTGGGTTGGCTTATGCTAACTCAGTTGTAATCTATTCTCTGGGTTTCTATTTGAATTATCATGCGATTGTAGAACTTGTATGCATGGATATAAGAGAATACTAGCAAACTTCTCTTCTTCCCTTTTTCTGCTTTTTACTAGCTAGGACTTGGAGTAAATTATTTGTACTTCTACAGGCAATGAAGGTGGAGAATATGTTGAAAATTAAGGAAGAGTTTGACTACAAAAGTTTGTCCAGAAGGCTTGAAATACAGCTAGACAAACAAATTGCAGAACATGAAAGGCAGCAGAAAGGATTTCAGGATGAGATTGAGAGGATTGCCCAAGAGGCTCAGATTCGAATCACTGAGGCTGAAAAAGGTTATGCAGAGGCATTGGAGGTAGGTACATGTTTCGTGAAATACGTGATAATATCTGAATCCTATATAACATGCCTTTTCATGTTAAGTTCATTTTCACTTTATATTATGTTACACATCATCTATTGTTTCCGGCCCTAATTTTTCATGATCATCTTTCTGTTTGAATTATGTAGTTTTGCATCACCAGATTATGTGCCATGACCAGGATTTTCACTGTCATTGTCTTTCTTCTCTTTCTGTTCCCTTTCTTCCATCATCTGCAGAGGGAGAGGTTGCAGTACCAGAAAGATTATATGGATGCAATAAGCAAGCTAGAGGAGCAATGGGCAGAAAATAAACAGAAGCATGAAAATGAAAAGGCCAAGGTGAGTTCAGAAGAATGCTACTGCTATTAGGAGAAGAATGAAGTTGAAGTCCACTTTCTATTCTGAAAGAGTGGTCTATTGTTTTTCCGAGGGTCCCATTGAAATTGTCCTCAAGCGTGGGTTGTTATAATTTATGATCTCATAAGCCTCTTCCTTGCAGTTCGTGTATGTAATAGACATGCTTGTCTTCTCTTTGAACTTTTACATATACCTAAGCAGCTGTCTGTGATTCTACATGCTCCTTTGAACCTTTGGAATGGCCCTGCAACTATGCTGAATATGTAACTGTGAAATAGCTTTCCTATCATATTTCAATTTCTGGTTCTACGATGAATGTAACTTTGCTTTTTGCTGTTTATCTCCCTCATTTGTCAGTCCTCAATGCTCTCTGCTTCTATGGAAGTTGCTGAGCTTAAGAAGAAGTTTGAAAATGAAACTCTTTTACGGAAAGCTGCAGAAGAGGAAATTGACNCAGTATCTATCTTTAAATTTGTTGAATTAGTATTCTTGGTGAAATCATTGGATTTATACAGCCTTGCCATGGTTGACCACCAGAAAGAAAAAAAGTTCAAAATAAGCAGCTTTTGTGGAGTTGAGGACATGAATCTTTTTTCTTTTAAAGATTCATCATAACTAGATTATCATTACGCTGATCGTCAATCTCTTTCTCACACCCCTGTATCTTGGGTTTATGTGCACATTAACCTCACCTTGTAAACCAATAACATCCTTGAAGTTATGTGTTAAAGTGAAACCGGTAGTTTTTCCTTCCAAACTAGCGAGTTCAGCACACTTAAAACATGAGTGTCGATCTTTGTTCTGAGCCTTTTTGCCCCCAAAGTGCTACACCCCAAAATGACCTAGCGTATGATGTATGCAGATTTCAAAACTTGCCATTAGTTGTGGGCATCATTTGACACTTGGTTGAAGAGAAATTACAAAATTGAAATAATTAACAGTTCCTGTATAATCTCTTTATAGATGTGGACTGCCGTGCCGTGTAAACCAATTCACATTATTGTGCCCTTGGTCTGTGAGAAGTGCTTGAGGGCTTTATGCTTTTCTTTTTCCAGTTTGACTCTTCTCCACTAATGTATAAAGAACTTTTAAACCCTGCCCCTGTGATCAGTGTGCTGTATACATTTTGCACGTGAGTTGTTTCTGTTGAAGATTAGAAAATGAAATTCATGTTGTAGCTTACAGAAGCATGCGTCTTTTGAGCAAGCTTTTCAAGTACCTGTAAACCTGCAGATTTTAAGGTGTTACATGTCTGGGTATATGCACTGCCGAAAATTTTCACGTCATATGCACTGCCGAAAATTTTCACGTCATATAAACACGATTGCTGATTAAATGAGCATATTTGTCAGTTAAGATTAACTTACTCAAGTTAAAGACTATTTCTTTTACTTAGACAAGGAGAAGTCTTGATAGAGGAGGGACTGTAAAGCTGCCAGGCACTCTAGATTCTCCAATTCCTCCATTTATGCATCAACACCTAGGAGATTCAGGAGATGGAGAGAAGGCCTCGATGGCAAAACTCTTTGAACAAGGTGGGAGATGGACTTTATCCTAGGAGTTGATTTCATTTTTAACTCTTCTACTCCCTAATACAACTTATGTTTTTTTCACCAGTGGGTCTCTCAAAGATATTGTCATTACTTGAATCAGAAGATGCTGATGTGCAGATTCATGCAGTGAAAGTTGTGGCAAACCTGGCAGCTGAAGGTATTGTTTTGCTATTTCCTTTTCAGTGTTATATCTTTAATTGCTGTCTCTTGCTACTCGCAATCTATAGTTTGTTGGGCGTAGATGCTATCTGCTTGATTGAGATGTGTATACCTTATCAAATGTAGCTATACCTCATGAGTTTTCTAATTGTAGGTGGGATTTGGCTACAAGTCTTATGAATGATAGCTTGTCAACTTTGTTACTTGAATCTAGTAATAGTTATGCAAGTATCTCATTTACCGGATAAACATTTGAAGCTGATTTGCATTATCTAAAATATAGTACTCCCTTTTTCCGAAATTCTATCTTATGTTTCTTAGCTTTCTCTAATTATATATACCATACTGCTCAAACCCCAATTATTTATTTATTTGACACTTCACCGTTCAAAGTGGAGGCATTAGTCCTTATTTCTTGCTGTAAAGCTCCTCTAAGCATAAAGTTGAAGGACAAGGTGGAAGTCAGTCAATCCAATTCACTTAATTAAAAATATGTCAGTTAATCCAATTCACTTAAAAATGTTGGTCAACCCAATCCATTAAGACCATCATAGACCTTATAAAGTGTAGAACACTACTACCAAAAACCTAATGGAGGAATACTAAAACGAAAGTTAAAAAACAAGCAGAAATTATGTTACATGAAACAGTTGAAAATTTGAGAAATGACAAAAAGGTAGTATCAAGTCCATAAATGGTGGTGACTTTTTTCCTATTCGATCTATTTCAGAGGCAAACCAGGAGAAAATTGTAAAAGCTGGTGGTCTAAATTCTCTATTAACTCTTCTTAGAAGCTCCAATGATGAGACAATTCACAGAGTTGCCGCTGGTGCAATTGCAAATCTTGCTATGAACGGTAAGCTTTTCATCACTCACAGACTAGTGAATATTATAAGTTCAATACTTTTCTTTTCATACTGAAGTTGCTCTCTACTAAGTGACATCATTTTTTCAAATGGTACAGAGACAAATCAGGAGCTTATCATGTCTCATGGAGGCATCAGTTTGTTATCAGTCACAGCTGCCAAAGCCGAAGATCCTCAAACCCTACGCATGGTTGCTGGGGCCATTGCTAATCTCTGTGGAAATGGTATTATTTGTTGCCTTAAGCTGAATATTTTAAGCTAAAATTTCTATGTATTTCAAGCAATTGAGCAAGATGACTTAAGATCAACGGATATGGTAATATTCTTCTTTCTGATATCAACATCTAACTGTTTCATTTGATGTGGAGCTGTAATAGTAAGAGCATTACGTTCTCCCACATAATGGTGAAATTTCACCATTTTAAATTTGTTTTATATGATACCTAACAGAACTGTCCCTCTACCACCCTGCCCCTTCCCCCCTACCCCTTCCCCCTCAACCAAAAAGAAAAAAAGAAAAAAAAAGAAAGAGCTTACCAGTAAAACAAGAAAAAAGGATGAACCAATGAGAAAAAAGGAAACATATATTGTTCCATCAGAAATTCCTTACACGATATCCTTAATCAAGTAACCCTGCATTTGAATTTAGTCACGGTGATTGGATCCTGCTGTTGCTCACATCTAATGTATCTTTTAACTTTTCACAGAAAAGTTACAAGCAAAGCTACGAGGTGAAGGTGGAGTTAAGGCGTTACTAGGAATGGTCAGATGCCGGCATCCTGATGTTCTGGCTCAAGTTGCTCGTGGAATTGCTAATTTTGCAAAATGTGAATCAAGAGCATACACTCAAGGTTAGTGGTATACAAGCTTGCAGCTTGCGTTTTCTCTGCTCGTCTGCCTCTCCTCCCTCGCTTCCTGCACCCCCAGCGCCCTCCACTTCCAACCTTGAGGTTGTGAGTTCGAGTCACCCCAAGAGCATGGTGGGGAATTCTTGGAGGGAAGGATGCCGGGGGTCTATTGGAAACAGCCTCTTTACCCAGGGTAGGGGTTGCGTACACACTACCCTTTCCAGACCCCACTAGTGGGATTATACTGGGTTGTTGTTGTACTGTTAGCAATATTATAGTCAGTATCATAGTTTTGCACTAGTCTCCACTTATACCCAGTTGGGTGGTGTATTGCATGTTCTGGTGAAAAAGAGAAGTCTCACTACTATAGTTTCGTGGCATTGCCAATGATCTTACCATGACAGGAAGCAAGACTGGGAAGTCTCTCCTTATTGAAGACGGAACCCTTCCATGGATTGTACAGAACGCTAATAATGAGGCCTCACCAATAAGGCGTCATATTGAGCTGGCACTCTGCCATTTGGCTCAACATGGTAAATAGCAGTTCTGATTTGACTTTTTCCATTTTGCTTGAAACTGTGGATAGTCATGAATGCTTAAACTGTTAATTACAGAAGTAAATGCAAAGGATATGCTCAAGGCTGGTGCCTTGTGGGAACTCGTTCGTATATCCAGAGATTGTTCACGAGATGATATAAGGACTCTTGCATATCGCACGCTAACTTCCAGCCCAAGTTTCCAGGCGGAACTCAAACGACAGAGGATCGATTATGGTTGAACATTTCATGTCTTATCGAGACAAGATGGTTTTGAATATGGAGATATAGTTATTAACATAGGTAGCTGATTCTTTTCACAGAAACGACTGTTTTATCTTCAAGAGGTGACATTGGTTTTCAATCCTATTAAACTCTCGTTGAGATGCAGTGAGGGTTACAAGTTTGCAACTAACAGAAACAAGTGATCTTGTAAATTTGCGTGAATTAGTATGTAGGTCTCACTAGATTAAGACCGCTATAAATGTAAAGCTTTGATTTGTTTATTCATATATCAAATGAAGCGTGTAAGATGTCATTTAATGTTGCATTCTGGAAAACAAGGTATATTATTGGTTTTACATACGAATTCTGACGGTATGTGCCGCATGTTCTATGAAATCCTGGAACATTTGATGTAAAAAGAACATGGTATCGAAGGGGCAATAGTTAGTTTGTGGTAATTATGCATTATATTGTGTACCAAATTTTACCAATATAAGCACATCTCAGATAGAGATCACTTGCAAGGATTCAGTATGAGAATAATATCTCGTAGCCAATTCGAGTGCATGTTTTGCTTTGATTTCCGTTATAGTAGTGGAATGGCTTGATCATTGAGGACATATACTGTATCCTTTTTAATCATATTGCTCATTCTGGGACCCTTTGTTTATGTTGTCAATTATGTGAATTATGCACTCGGTTTCCACTAAAAAACATTTGTGTTAATCGATTGAGGTGAAATTTTGTTCCATATTATTAATTGTTACCAAGGTTGTATTTTTGTATTTGTCAAGGGCGTCGTTCATAGTCGCCGCAGCTCATAGTTGCGTATTTGTGGTATCAACGTTCTAAATCCTAAAGCATATTTTATAAGTTTATATTCTTCATATTCTTTCTTTATTATTCTAAGTTTTTTGTTGTGTTTCCTTGCATTTAAAACGTTCTGTTTGGGAGGTAGTGTTTGTCCTGGCTCCCATTTGGCAAAAGACTTGTACATACTGCTCAAGGCCTCACTTCTTCCTCTTTCAGTCACTAATTTTTTTTTAAAAGTATATTTTGGAGAGGTGAGTCAGAGACCGGAGGAAAGAGGAGTCATGTAAATCCTAAAGAAGAAGACGGCTATTACTGAAAATTGAACCTTGCTTCAATTGAATAAACAACTATTACTACGCCGCAGTCCTAAACAAGTTGAAATCGACAATATGAATTCTCATTCCTTTCTTTGAATGGTAATGAAATTAACCACTCTTGAAGGAAGCCAATGTCCCAGGATCTCGGACTCGTTCTGATAGAGTTGTTTTTCTAAATAAGATAAGACAAGAAGAAAGGGTGTAACAACAACGATGATACCCTCGTGTCTAAGCGCATCCACTTTTTAATCATTAGATTATAACTCCAATCCCATTAATGTGCAAAGTGGTTTGCTCCAAGAGGAGAGTCAATTGCTTGAGAAACAATATTCACAAGCATGATAAACAAGGCACACAACCTGTCGCTAACACTTAAAAAACCAGCCAATACTAACTACCTTTGGATCATTTGCTTCTTGAATATATAGCGACAGCTCATCTGTAGACCTCAACTGATGGGACACTATAATCATTTTTCAAATTTTTTTAAACACTTGGACTCTCAAATGGCATGGCTTCAAAATATTTCAGAAATTTCATGCCCATCCACTAGCTCAAAGGAAAAATTCCAATTTCTTTTTCTTGAGCAAGATATCGAACTAGTAAATTGTAATGGAGATTAAGGAAAGCGATATAATGTTGTATGAAAACATGCAAAACATAGAAACTGCTACACATATGTAAAATTTTTATCCTGGCACCCAGTTTTGCGTCACCCACTAAATTTGTACTCATTTTTTAAAAAAAAATTAACTGATACCCAATTTTTGGATAACTTCAGTTACATACACTTTTCTTTTTTACTGTTGGTTTCTTCTTCTTTAATTTGTGCTTAGTTGCAAAATGAGTTTGTTAAATTTGTTGTTGTTTTGACAATTTGATGATTCGAAGAACAAGTTTATATTTTAGAACTTAAGATTCGAAATCTGAAGTTGAATTCAACAGATTGAACTACTTAAGATTCGAATTTCTGAAGTTACATTTGAAAGATAGAAGAACTTCATATTTGATTTATGAAATTGTATTGAAGAGATTGAAATACATCAGATCCGAGCGGGTACACTTTGCAAAATTTTATGCAATGCGAGTATAACTTAAATGGTGACCTCAAAAGTGGGTACTCCCTCTTTGAAAAAATCAAATATTATGGATCATAAAAAAAGATCAAAAAATTAATTAAAGTGGACCAGAGAGAATATATATGAAAATTACAAAAGGCATAGGGTGGATGCCGCACCTATGTCTTGTACATATACAAACATATATTATATAGAGAGAGAGTTAAACTTTTTGATTACACACAATTCAAATCTATTGTCTCAAGTAGTAATGAATTCGATAATACTTACATTTGATGACTTAAGATTTCAGATCTGTTTTTGGATTCAGTAGAGGGAGAATTTCTTTTAGGAGTATACTGGAGTTTTGATCTGTCTAGGGGTTAAGTTATAAATATGGACCACTAAACCACTATACGATGGGGCAATTGTCTCTACCCTTTCTCCACCAAAAAGTCCTACTAATAGTATATTTCTTCTCGTACATTCACCCGACCAAAACACTGTGATGGAAACCTTAATCCTATGAAACACACACACCTCAGACTTTAATAAAAGTGTGTAAAATAGGAATCATAGAAACATAGGCTGCATCCAATCATTTTCAGACCCCCATTTGTAGCTTCTAACTCTTTTATAGTAATTACTTTTGGGCACTTGAAAAAGAATAGCCATGTTCAAAAATATCCATTAGATCATTTAGAGCAATCATACAAAAGAAATGCTTGCAGCCTAATCATAGCAGCCTCTCCTCTTTCTTTGATTACATTTTTTTTTGTATAAAAAGATGTATGAATATACTTCAATTAGTTCAATTAAAAAGTATATTCATACAATTACTTCAATTAAAAAGCTCAAAGAAAAAGGTTACAAGAGCTAAGCTAAATCAGGTCTAGCAGATTCGGAAGAAGTGAGGCCTATGTTGCTGAAGTTTAAACTAGCATGAGTATTAATCAAATTAAACTATTGCTCTTTTGATTATATATAAATCTACTTAGTATTCCAAATTTCTGTACTAGAGTTTATTACTACTATCTTTTTGTGGACATAAATCTACTGAGAGAAAGTAACCATAACACCAAAGCATCAAAGTTTTATTTTTCAAAACAAATGCCACGACAACCATTAAAATAATGTCAAAATTTTAAGAAGTCAAAACACATTATTCAGTTTTCGAAAACTAATTCTAAATAGAGTATAGCTCCTATATATGAAAGTGTAAAAGAACATTCACTATGAGATTATCTAAAAGATTAATACATGTCTCCGTTCATAAAAATGGGATCACTAACTTGAAAAGTAAGGAGATTACCTACTGTCACATGTTACAATACAATACACTTGTTAGTGTAGAACTTCTATAAATTGCATGTCTATAAAATAATCCTTCTAATTATGTGAATTTATTTCTTCTGTTTTAAACACGGTAAAAGTATGCTATCTCTTCCAATAATTTACTTCTCATTGCCATTTTTTTTTGCTTCCAAATGGTTGACCCTATTTTGTATCATAACAATTCTTGGAAAATTTGACCTTAATCTCAAGCAGAGCTGGCAATGGATATATTTATATATCATGGGAATATCCACATCTTACATTACTGCAAGCACAAGAAAGAAAAATGGGGGGTGGGGGGGGGGGGG